CTCCCCCAGCCCTAACCCTAGCCCCAAACCCTAAACCCTAAACCCTAAACCCTAAACCCTAAACCCTAACCTGCGCGTCAGTGCCCCCGCTGATGGCGTTGCTGATGGCCCAAGCCCTACACCCTACTCCCTGCTCCCTCCACCCAGCCCTAACCCTAGCCCCAAACCCTAAACCCTAAACCCTAAACCCTAAACCCTAAACCCTAACCTGCGCGTCAGTGCCCCCGCTGATGGCGTTGCTGATGGCCCAAGCCCTACACCCTACTCCCTGCTCCCTCCACCCAGCCCTAACCCTAGCCCCAAACCCTAAAGCCTAAACCCTAAACCCTAAACCCTAAACCCTAACCTGCGCGTCAGTGCCCCCGCTGATGGCGTTGCTGATGGCCCAAGCCCTACACCCTACTCCCTGCTCCCTCCACCCAGCCCTAACCCTAGCCCCAAACCCTAAACCCTAAACCCTAAACCCTAAACCCTAAACCCTAACCTGCGCGTCAGTGCCCCCGCTGATGGCGTTGCTGATGGCCCAAGCCCTACACCCTACTCCCTGCTCCCTCCACCCAGCCCTAACCCTAGCCCCAAACCCTAAAGCCTAAACCCTAAACCCTAAACCCTAAACCCTAACCTGCGCGTCAGTGCCCCCGCTGATGGCGTTGCTGATGGCCCAAGCTGCTTCTTTTTTTGTGTCGAATTCGGCTGTCTCCAAAACGTGCAGCAGCGCGGGCACGGCGCCGCTGTCCAGCACTTCTTGCACTTGTTCTCGACTTCCTGCAAATAATAAATAAATAAATAGATAAATACATAAATAAATAAGTAAATAAAAGTAATTTAGACAAATTATTTATTTATTTATTCGCGAAAGAATGAGGGGCTCGGAGATGCAGCAGAAAAAGGTAGTTCCTAAGAGGTCCCCGTTGCTGCAGCAGCAGCAGCAACTCCCACAGCAGCAGCAGCAGAACCAGCAGCAGCACATACCGCACCAGCAGCAGAACCACCGCAGCAGCAGCAGATGCAACAGCAGAACCACCGCAGCAGCAGCAGATGCAACAGCAGAACCACCGCAGCAGCAGCAGAACCACCGCAGCAGCAGCAGACACAACAGCAGCAGCAGCAGCAGCAAACCTGCAGTGATGTTGGAGATGGTCCAGCAAGCTTCTTTCTGGACTGTCTTTCTGTTGGAAGACAGCAGCGCGAGGAGTTTGGGAAGGGCCCCACAAGTGAGCACAACTTGGGTTTGTCTGTCATCTCCTGAAAAAGAAATTAAATAAATAAATTAATTAATTAATTAATTAATTAAAATAAATAAATTAAATCAAATTGAGCGAAATAATCGGAAAAAATCCAGCACAAAAAGGCCCCAAGCTCGCCCCAGACCCCCGTCCTCACCTCCACGAGGGTTTAGGGTTTAGGGTTTAGGGTTTAGGGTTTACCGGTGACTATGTTGCCCACAGCGCGCAGCGCGGGGGTTTGCACGAGAGAAGAGGGGTGGTTTAGGAGATCGACAAGACGGCTGCAAACCCCTGAAGAGTTTAAAGAAATAAATGAATTAAATAAATTAAAATTAAATTAAATCAAAAAAATGAAGAGAAATGAAGGAATTAAAAGACATTCGAACGGGTTAAAATGAATTAAAATGGACTTAAAAGAAATAAATAAATGAATTTAAATTAAATTTCATTAAGTGAACCAGAATGAATGAAAATGGATTTAAAAAATAAATACATTAAATTAAAATTAAATTAAAAGTGAACTAAAATGAATTTAAAAGAAATAAATGAATTAAAACAAACTAAAATGGAGTAACATGAATTAAAATGGGTTCATTGAGAAACGCATAAAATAAATTAAAATCAAATTAAATAAAAAATGAATAAAAATGAATCTAGAAGAAATACATGGAGTAAAATGAATTAGAGTGAATTGAAATGAAGCAAAATAAATCAAAAATGAATTAAAATGGATTAGAATGAATGAAAATAAATTAAAATAAATTAGAATGAACTGAAACGAACTAAAACGAATTGAAATGAATCAAAATAAACATAATCAAATTAAAATTAATAAAATAAATAAATAAATTAAAACACAATGTATCAGAAGCTAGTTAAAATGAATTAAAATGAATTTAACACAATAAAATGAGACAAATCAGTTAAAATGAATTAAAATGAATTTAACACAATAAAATGAGACAAATCAAGAGAGGATAAAAGCAACGTAAAAAATAAATAAAATACAATGAAAAAAAACAAATAAAATAAATCAAAAACGAATTAATCTGAAATAAATGAACATAATAGACTAAAATAAAATAAATCGAAAAATAAGTAAAACAAGTTAAAACAAATATAACTAAATTAAAATGAATTAAAATAAATAAAATAAATAAAATATAAATAAAATAAATAAAATAAATAAATCAAAAAAGAATTTAAAAATTAAATCCGAAAATTTGCAAAAATGCAAAACCCCAATTTGACGGAAAACAGAAACCACAAACTCCCTTCTCTCAATTTTCAGCCTCAAATAAATGAATAAATGAAGTTATTTATTTATCTTAATTGATTAATTATTTTATTTATTATAAATTAATTCTAATTAATTAATTAATTAATTTATTTATTTATTTATTATTTATTTTTATTTATTTCCCACCCGCCTGCAGCACCGCCTCTATGCGCTCGTTGGGGCCGTCGGAAAGATAAGAAACGGCCCAGCAGGCGTCAGTAAGAACCTGAAAAGAAATAAATGAATAAATTGATTAATTAAATTAATTACTTAATTAAATTAAGTAATTAATTTAATCAATTAAATCAATGAAATTAAATTAAATTAAATAAATTGATTTAATTCATTTAGTTTTTTGGAGTTGCGGGAAAGGAGTTGAGGGAAGAAAGAACGGAGGCAGCAGCAGTCAGGTGTCTGTAATAAATAAAAATAAATAAATAAACGAATAAATAAATGAATAAATAAATAAATATAAATGAATAAAAAATAAATATAGATAATAAATATAAGTAAATAAATATAAATAAATAAAAATGAATAAATAATAAACCACGGGCGGGTGGTTCCAGGAAACGGTGGGAAAAAGAACGAAAGAGCAACACAAACCCTAAACCCTAAACCCTAAACCCTAATTGGGCGATACTGCAGCAAGTAGGAAAGATGCAGCAGCGCAGCAGCCACGGACGAAAGCGCTCACAAACACCCAAATAAAACAAACTATAAATAAATAAATAAATAAATAAATAAATAAATAAATAATAATTAAATTAAATTATTTATTTATTTTTACTTCCGCATCATCTGAATAAATCAAAGCCGCCAAAGTCGGCAGCGCTGGAGAAACTTTTTCAAAAGCGGGTGCGGGTTTGCCCCGGCAAAAGTTCGACCTGTCCACAAACCCTAAACCCTAAACCCTAAACCCTAAACCCTCATAAACCCTAAACCCTGAAACCCAAACCCTCAGAAACCCTAGTGGACCCTAATTTACCCTAGAAAACCCTAAACCCTAGAGAATGAGGGCAGTTGTGAAAGTCTGCTCGGCCACGCTGGACATTTGCCAAGAACCCTAAACCCTAAACCCTAAACCCTAAACCCTAAACCCTAAACCCTCACAGTGTCCACGTGGCATTCCTCAGCATCGCCAATTTCGAGCCGGGAGTATTAAGCTGCTCCAGCAGCGGCTGCAGGGCGTCTGCAAGGAACCCCAACCCCACCCCCCAAACCCTAAACCCTAAACCCTAAACCCTCGCAGGTCCCGCACCACCCCTGATCCCGCCCCCACCTCTCCCGCTCCCCGCGCTGCCCAAACCCTAGGGTTTAGCCAGGGCCTCCCTAGGGCTTCGCCAGGGTCCAGCTAGGCTCCAGCTAGGGTCCAGGGGTTGGCGAGGGCTTAGGGTTTAGGGTTTAGGGTTTAGGGTTTAGGGTTTACCGCTGTCGAGGACCAAGTCGCGGCAGCTGGGGGAGTCCCCCGCTATGTTCCCCAAAGCCCAAACCGCCTGTTCCCGAACTTCTTCTTTGGGGGACCTCAGCAGCTGCACGAAGCAGGGCACTGCCCCGCAGTCCACCACGACCTGCGCCAAACCCTAAACCCTAAACCCTAAACCCTAAACCCTAAGCCCTAGCGCCGGGCCCTCGCTCCTGCAGAAGGGCGCTCCGCCCGGCGCCGCCGCGCGCTCGCGGCGCCGCCTCAGCGCCCAGGCGCCCCAAAGCCCCGCAGAGAACGAGGGTTTGGGGTTTAGGGTTTCGGGTTAGGGTTTAGGGTTTAGGGTTTACGCGGGTTTGCTCCTGAGTGCCCGAGGCTATATTTGTCAAGGCCCACGCGGCTTCGAACTGGAGCTGCTCGCGGCCCTCCATGGCGAGGAAGCGGACAAAGTGAGGCACGGCGCCTGCAGCGCAAACCCTTTTTTAGGGTTTCGGGTTTTCGCGTCTTTTCCGGATTTTTCCCGGACTTCCGCCCAAATTCAGAAAGCTCTTCAAAAAATATACTTATATGTTTCAAAAACAAATAAAATGGCGCCAAAAACCCAAAAATTTCTCTTTTTCAAAACTGAAACTCCACGCAGCCGCGCCAGCTGTCTATACACCCCAACACCCGCAGCAGCGGCAACCGCAAGCTGCCACTTGTGAAATAAACGAACAAATAAATAAATAACAAATAAATAAATAATATATAAATAAATAATAAATAAATAAATAATAGTAAAATAAATAAACTATGAATAATAATTAAAAGATTAATAAAAGAAATAATACCCGCGTCAATGACAGCTTGGATGGGCGGGCTGTTCTCTATGCTGAGGGCGCGGCGGAAGACCTGCGTGGCCTGAAGATGAAAATAAATAAATAAATAAATGAATTAAATAATTAATCAATTATAAATAAATAATAATAAATGCTAAATGAACTGCTGCTTGTGAGTCCGCTTGCGCGAAAAAGAGCAAATGAATAAGCACTCAAAGAGCTGCAGCAGCAGCAGCAGCAGCTGCAGCAGCACCCGCTGCTGCTGCAGCACCTGCTGCTGCTGCAGCACTATCATAATCAGCAGCAGCTGCAGCAGCACCATCACCAGCAGCAGCAACAGCAGCTGCAGCAACGGCGCCAAAATCACCAGCAGCAGCTGCAGCAGCAGCACCACCACCAGCAGCACGACGACCATCAACAGCAGCAGCACAAGCAGCAGCAGCAGCAGCAGCAGCAGCAGCAGCAGCAGCAGACCTGCAGCTCCGACTCTGGCACTCCGCTGCCTAAAGCCTCAACAAGCTGCTTCAAATCTCTTCCAGAGAACTCCGAGGGGCCCCCGGGGGCCCCCCCAGTACCCTGTGCTAAGTCCATGCCCCCCATGGGGCCCCCCGAGAGGCCCCCCATGGGGGCCCCCATGGGGGTCCCCATGGGGGCCCCCAAGGGGGCCCCCATGGGGGCCCCCAGGGGGGCCCCCAGGGGGCCCCCCTGGGGGCCCCCCACTGCTGCCATTTCAGCTTCATCTAGGGCCTCAGCTCTTTTCTTAGCGAGGTTTTGTTCTCTGTGGGTTTTTCGAATTTGCACCTGAGGTGGAAATCAAAGTTAATTAAATTAATTAATTAAATTAATTAAATTAATTGAATTAATTGAATTGAAAAATTAATTTATTATTATTTAATTTGCCTATTATTTAAGTGGTTTCGGCGGCAGTTTTGAGGACTTAGAGGGCTTGGAGGCAGCAGCACAGCGAACGGGGGAGCCAAACCCTAAACCCTAAACCCTAAACCCTA